CTATATATATATATATATATATATATATATGGCGATTACCAACGATGAACCACACCAAATAATGTTTACCAATTTGTTCTATTTCACCCATTTTTTTGGACATCTTTGCTGATTTGAAATCTAATTAAATTTAAATTGCAAAAAGGAAAAATAGCGTAACGCAGATGTACTACCTGCATCAAGTATCATCTCAACATATTTCTTTCAACTTTCCTCATTAAAAAAAAGGAGACCTTTCATAACGATGAAAATTGCATGGCCAATAAGCTCTTGACTCCAGTGTCTAACTGGAACTGATAACTTGAACCAGGTCGCATGCAATTATACATGCCCATATTCAGCTATGGCCCTTGATTTTTATTTTTATTTTTTAAAAGAGGTGATAGTGCTCCCACATGAGCATATCGCACACTTGCTCCCTTGGGCAAAATGCCTCTTAGGGGGTTTCCATGATCTCAAGTTCAGGAAACCATTTGGGAATCTTCAGAAGAGTATTCAAACGATAAGAAAATAATAATAAAAGAAAAAGCTATCTAAACGACTAGATCTAACGGCATAAAATGTAGATAACATGTGTACAGTCCACCAGCTGACCCCAATTAATTAGAAAAAGACTATGATAATGATGATGATGATGTGTGCAATCCACTGCATGTGTGCAATCTAAGGCACGATTTCTGAAGGAACTTCTGGGTGCAATCTAGGGCACGATTTCTGAAAGAACTTCTGGGTGCATATTGAAGAGTATTTCCCTTTAGGTAGGCAGCTGGGCTGAGTATGTCCTACCCAAAACTTTGGGTGCTAAAAGTACTCCTAGCTAAGGTTTTGTCCAAGGGAGGAAATGTATGTTTTACTACTGCAGAAGCATATAATCCAACTGGAAAAAGGCACTTGCTTTGCTGAAATTTATTGTCAAGTGTCAAACTTCACAATGATCAGCCAAATTGGATAATAATATTAATAAAATTGCATCAATAAATTAACAACTCAATATTACAACCTAAGGGGATGCTTCCTCACATTTAGCATGCACTTCATGGTTGAGCTTCTGCAACCCTCTGAGGTTGAGGTGCTCTTTTTCTTTCTTTGACTCCTTTTGGAGGTACACCGCCATCCTTTTTCTCTTCCCCTTTTCTCTCAATTCGAGCAAAAACAGGTTTAGGTTCTGCCATTACTTGCCCTGCTTTAAGCCCCCCCCATCGGGTGTCATCCTGCACAGTGACCACGAACAGTCTTGACCAAATATAACCAAGTACAAAGAAGCAGATTAATACTTTCATGCAGTGTTCGAGAAATGAGAAACTCAGCTCGAGGCTTGGCCAAGTAAAGCCTGGCACCCTGGCAAGTGCTGCGGCAAAGCCTGGGACTGCCCCACGCCCCCCTGTTTTAAAAGAAATTACTTTTTTTCCTTTTTGGTCACCAGTCCGACTCAGGACTCACATAAGTCAGAACAGTTGTTTTGGGATCAGGACCATGGCGAGTGCCAGCCTGAACACATGTTTCTAAACACTGGTTTTATGTTCTTGCTCTTTTTATATTTATATATCAGACACTCCTCTATTTTAGTTTGTAAGAGTGCTAGAAAGGTGACACATAATAGAGTAGGTAAATCGGAAACAAATGATCTAGACTTTCCACAAGCAAATAGGTGCTTTTAACCTCCAACTAAAATAACCACAAAGAAAGCAGAAAAATTCTCAACTGGGGGTTTGAATTTTCCAGAAGAGCAAGAGAACAATATCAAATTTAATCTGAGAATTCAGAAGGACCAAAAAATCTGCATCACCAATTTAAAAGAACCCATACATAGAATGTAGAAAGAGATAATGGTTTTCAGTTCAAAGTTCAGTTTAGAAATTTGGTATAATATGCAATTTGTTGTGTAAAATACCATTGAAAGATACCCTAGGGTAAAAAACCACATTTAAATCATAACTCTCCCAAGAACAAAGAGGCACTCTATAAAACAAATGTTGCATGTTTGTTAGTGCAATGATGACGAGTTCTATCCCAGCATCACTCGTATATAAGCTCCCAACAGAGAAAAGCACATCATGTAAGGACTAAAACATAAGGGAAAATGAAGATATTAAAAAACAGAGAAATACCCAGGTGACAGCTTCGAACTGTGCCCTTGAATATCCGAGCTGTGAATACATCCTGAAAGATAAGGTTGGAGTGATGGGGGATAAGGCAATAGCTATTATCCTCACTGTTTCCAATATAATCACAAGATCCTGCAAAAACCCCATTTCAGTTAAAAAACTTTATGAAAAGCGAAGCATGTGACAGATCCAGATGAGATTTCTCCAGAAGCATTGATGCAATTTATCCTATTACAAAATAATCAAACAGGGAAAGCAACCACCATGCCTCTGATTTCAATTGGAAATTGTTACAAGTTGGCACCAGTACTTTAGAATAATTGAAACTGTGTGTGTGTGTGTGTGTGTGTGAGAGAGAGAGAGAGAGAGAGAGTAGGTGCTGGTACGTTCCTTTCGGACTGCCCTCTGACCACCTTAAGGAGGTGGTAAATACTGAAGGCAAAATTATTACCTGAACTACTCGAGGAAGGTTTGGTTCTTTTAAAGATGGCTATTGAAAGCCAGTAAAAGTATAAGAAAAGCTCACAGTCCCCTAAAACACTACAGAACCAGTAGCATGTTTGCAATTAACCCTAAATCAAAATATGAATTGTGCTAGTTAAAGTCAAAGGACTGGTAACAATGGAAGGATATGGAGATAGATGACATTTTTGACTTAATAAGAGGTGTAAGGAGGCCCTCAAGACCTGTTTCACCAATTCTAAAAATTGGTGCAATGCAAGGCAATTTATGGGGAGAATTAGAAGAAGGGCTTTTCTATAAAGTGACCAATTTATCTTCGTACATGGAAGTCAAAATCATTATTATCCCTTAAATTTCAAAATGGGTGGTTATAAGAATGTCATTGGATGGACACAAAGTTCCAAAAACAAAATCTCAGACGTCGTAAGTCATGGCCAAGCCATCCAATTTGATGTCTAATGAGTGGGAATGATTGTGACCTCCATGTACAAAAGATAAATGGTCTCTTTCTAGATAATCCCTTAGAAGAATAGCTGAGCTCAGCATTCGTAAAAACAGCTTGGCGGCAGAACTCGGGCCTTGACTGGTCTGAGCGATCCAGGCGAGTCCAAGTGGACTTGCAAGTTTGCTCCAAGTCGTTGAGAAGCCCGAAAGGATACTGAAAATTCAGGAAAAATATGGAAATTCAGAAAAATCAGAAAAAAAAAATCTATACAACATGGAAACGATAAGAAATTGACATTATTTCTGTTTTTTCCTATTTAAATTTTAAAGTGAAAAAAAATGAAGTTATCCAAAATATTAAGCCAATCCTCCAATCTTTGAGCTCAGAGTTAATTGATGCCTCCAACCTTTGTCAAAGCATCCTCAAGCCACCCAAATGAAATCCCCAAAACCAGATTTGGTTTCCTAGTTCAGTTCTAGCTGATCCAAGCCCTTGGAAATTTTGAGTGAAATAGTAAATCCAAAATAAAAATCTGGCAAATCTGATAAAAAAAAATTTCTTTTAACAAGCCTATGATTTGATGAAAAACCCAAAAATAGGCTTGAAGAACAATTTTCGTTGAAGATTGACCAAACATTTGAAAAGCATTCACAACTTTTCAGATTTGGTAAAGCTAACTCGAAATACTCAATCTCCCAAATCTGTAAAATATTATTTTCTTCTCAAATCTGATCAATCTAATTGACAGATCATGTAAAGACGAGTTTAGGACTGAAAATTTGGACGCAATTCATTGAGTCTACAAAGAAAATTAAAGGAAAAGAGGGGCGGATTTCTTTCCCCCCTTGATATTCCTGTATTTTAATTGAACACGGTGAGTTTTGCATGACTCACCGAATCACATAAATACTCGTGGAGTTTTACAGTACCAAGGTGATTTGATACAGTAAACGGGAGTACTGTAGCACATGTAATACACCCACTTGTTGGGCGGGTTATGGATGAGGCACCTGCCAAGCCTACGCAGCTCAGGCAAATCCCAGTGGGCTCACCCAAGTTTTCTAAATATAGTTGAAATGTTAGGCATTATTCAGGAGATTGTTATATAAAGGGAGATGTGAAGCAAGTATTTGAGTCATTGGGGAGACTCTCAGTTAAATCTATCTATCAGAATTACCAATCAAAAGAAGAAACTACCATGCAAAAAAAACACATGCAGTGTGGCTTGCTTTCTAATTCAATGGGGTTCAAAAAAAGAGAGATCCCAGGATATTCACTGTTTCCTAACCTCTATAATAAAATGATCATCATCAGTGATCCCCATCATCTGAGTTTTGTATTGGCTATCTTGTGTAGGAAGGTGGAAACTTTAAGTGTCACAGCAGGTTTAATTTTCAAAGACATGAAGCAACACTATTTTGACATGTCCAACCAACACATCAAAGTCCAACACAGCAAAAATGCCAAAAATTGTGATTCCTTACTGTAAAAGACAAAATATAACACAAAGAACAAAAGAGACCCCAGCACAACAAACGAGAAATTTAGTTTGTCTCTAATTAGACACAATAATCAACATGAAAGAAAACAATACCTTAGAAGCAGCTTCCGCACTGGCACCACCTTGCTTGAAAAGAGACCAGGGTGCATGCTCGTCCATGTATAAGTTACCCGCATTTCCAATTTCCATGACAGATTCACAAGCAGAAGATATGGAAAGGTTCTCATAATGGATCCTGGCTTTCTCAACCTAACAATAAATCATACTATGAGCAGATAGATATGTCAGAGGACCACAAAACAAAATTTCAAGAGAAAAATGGTACTTACTAATTCCTTCACATTATGCTTGAGAGGAATTTCTTGAGCTGCAGAAGCGGAATCAAAACCTAGGGTAGATTCGCAATTTTTCTTCAAAAGGCCAAGAGTACGATTAAGAAGATTTCCTGCACAAAAATGCAAGAATCCAGTGACAATGAGTTCATGGTATCTAACAATTGTATCAGTAAATTGTTAACCAAAGTAAATCAGATTGAAAATAATATTTTGACACATCAAGATAAAGTCACAAAGGAAAATGTTGAAATTGCGTAACCAATTGTGTTGGCAAGGTGTGCATTGACGATGTTGATGAAACGCTCTTCCGAATAGTCACCATCATTTCCAAATTCCACTTCACGCAGGAAAAAATATCTGACAGCATCAGATCCAAATTCAAACAAGAGATCTTTTGGTTCAAGTGTATTTCCCAAAGACTTCCCCATCTTCATACCATCCTAAAAATTTTCACAATAAAAGCATTGCTGCATAAAATGAAAATCGAAAAATGAGATAGATAATGCAAGGCATTATAAACATTGTTTAATACAGAGTACGGACTAAACAATTGTTAGATAGGACAAATGCTTCATGGACTGTGAGTATATTTAATTTCTCTGCAATGGCATTCTTGAATCTTTTATTTTTTTTTTAAATATTGAGAAAACAAGATGAACCCACATTTGTATACAACTCCAATTTCTTGAAGGACAGGGTACAAAAACGAAAAACATAAGGCCATATTGATCACTTGATTCACAGATTATCTATCTTTTAGAACACAATTGTAGAATATACAACCCACTTGACAATTCATCATGCTAGTATTAGAACTATACAACTAATAAAATAAGCAAAATGTTGAAATAGCCATGAAAATGACTGATTCATACATGAAACCAACCATTTTGGTTAACTGCTCGCAGAAGAAACTATCTTGACTAAACCAAATGGTTCATCAGTACATCTGTTCTTTTCGTTGTCAAAATCTGACTTACAAGAAGTCTTTGATATATCATATACCTTACTTAACAGACCAGATAGAATAATTCTCTAAACATGCTAACAGTTTGCAACTATTTTTATGAGTAATAACAAATGCAATATTTCTAATTTATGGTATTCTTAAGTCCACAGCTCCATAACCCCATGAAATAATTTATGTGACTCAAAAGAAACAAAAAAAATTAAAATAATGTTTGGTACAGTCCTACCTGGTGAAAAACATACCAAAAGATAGTACAGCTGATGGAGGTTCACATTTTAACATCTTTTATAATGCCCACCAAATGGAGAACAACTGGGGGTTTACCAAGTGTCTCAACCATCTGATTTAAACAATTTCCCTCACACTTGATGTTTTCCTATCTAGCAATAGTTTACAGCTCCTCTTAAAACTAGAGATTCCAGCTATTCATTCACATAACTCTGCAATATCACCCAAACTGTATATCACATGCGACAATTCTGAAGAAATGGGTTGGTAGCCCATTCAGTTCAATGTAATAGGGCTTTCATTTGTTGCTTTGTTTTTAACATTTTCAGTTCAAGTAACAACTATGACACCAATCTTTCTACTCTAACTTTCAAGCTCTTATTAAATTTCTTGTAATATTCATCACAATTGGTTATGTGAAGATGATTAATGTAGTAACAAAACTTAAGTAAACTATTTTCCTAGAAGAAACAAATCAAAAAGCCAATTTATGGAACTTGGGAGATGACTCACCAAAAAGTGCAAGGCGCAACAAAAAAAACAGGACTATACTCCCCATCCTAAACTACTTAGAATGTGTTAGACCTCTCAAAGATTTTTACCATAATTGAAAAAAATGGTGTTAACCCCAGTTTTGCATAGCAAACAGAACACACAATTTTATCTCAGTACTCCATTGTTTGTTCTCTTACAGGCTTAAGGCCCACAATTGTACACAATACAGTATGCAATGAAAAAGGTCATTTATCAGGGGAAAAAAAGGAAACTGAATCCAAGGATTTCATGTATGTTGATGCGACAAAAGGTTAAAAAAACAAAGTACAAAGCAAGCAATGGAATCAATTCCTACTCATGAAAACTGCACGGGGCGCCATCTACAAAATTGAATTTAGCTATACACAGCTCCTAACATGATGACAAATCACAATAATGAGCCAATGAGAATATTCATTTCTAAAATTGAATTCAGTTGTGTGAAGTTCCTAACATGGTGAAATTGCCCAAAATATTGAGAACAGCAGAGCTTGCATGAAAATAAATCCAGATGAGAAGCAATACCTTTGTTAGAAAACCATGGCCAAACACCATCTTTGGAAGATCCAAACCTGCTGACATTAGCATTGCAGGCCAATAAACAGCATGAAACCTTAAGATGTCCTGCAAATGTATGAGATGGACTGTCAAAAAAAATGGCTATAATATATAACAAGTTCAACATATATTGCTGGAAAGAGGGCTAGCTGAATAGGATGGAAACTCTTCGTAGAAGATCAATGGTTCTCTTTCCATAGATAGCTTAACACCCAATGATGGGAATCAAATTAAGAGTCAAACACCCATGAATGCATATACAGCCTTCAAAACCATTCAGATAATAGGCTCAGCCATTGACGAAAGAGTCTGTGCCATAACAGATAATTATCGGACATCAAAACTTCTTATCCATCATTGGACGACATTGTATGCAATAAGGCATTGCTATACTTTTTTTTTTTTTTTGAGAGTGTTACAAAGGGATCCAGATAACTTACGGCATTGCTATACGTTTTCCACCATAATTTAGAAATAGTCCTCATAGGGTCCAATTATCGGAAACTCCACGTACCATTGTCATTCAAAAAAGAAACTTGAGAAGGTTAAAAATCGAAATTTAAAAGTTCACACTAACAAAATTATAGATAAATTAGAACTTGGCAATTGAGACTCCAGTTATAGAAGACAATAAATGGTTGACGATAGCATCAATAAGACATTTTTCTCTCACTGCTCTTCATCCAGTAGTGAAACACAGAAACAACAAACCGATAATTGTACACATTCAACTAGATTATCCAATTTTATTACTAATACCTAATTTTGAAATTTTACTACACAAGAAGGGATAAAATTCAGAATGACTACTTCGAGGGAACTTAGGGGTGACTCCAATAGGAGACAAGATGAGAGAATGTAGACTTAGGTGGGCTGGCCATGTGCAACGCAGACCCAATACAACACCTGTTAGAAGGTGCGATTCGGTTCAAGTGGAAGGCTCTAAAAGGACAAGGGGAAGACCCAAAAGGACAACATGGAAGTAGTACGAAAAGATATAGGGACTTATGGTCTTACAAAAGGTATGCCCTTAATAGAGCGGAATAGGATTCGTGTAGTGGATCCCAAATAGTTGAATAAGACTCTGATGATGATGACGCTAAAGTTTATCATGTTTCTGAATAAAAATGATAAACTTCATATAGATTTTCCTACAGCAATTTTATCATTCTACTTGACATCTCTGAGTAAAAGCATCCCAATCTCTATTAAAATTATGTGTCCCTAATGCTCCCCCACATGGTTTTTAGAGATACAGGCCAGTAGTTTGACTTAGACAATTGGATGCATTCAATAAAAGGTACATCTATACAATATACCTTTCCTATCAGGTGCAGTGAAACTGGCCAACCCGAAGAAAGTGCATTTTGCAAGGTTGGCTCCTCCCCTTCTTTCAAGAGTGCTGAAACATAACTGCTCCAGGCAGACAACAAAATACAATAAGTGCATAAACATGTAACTTGGAAGAATGTGAGATACAACTAACAGACATAAAAAACTGCTTGCAATATAAATATGATTTCCATGTAGTTCTTCCATAAGGAATTGCAGAACAAAAGCCAACTAGAGGTGCTGGAGTAGAGATCAGGAAACAAATCAAGTGGCTATAGTGATGTCATAAATCATTAATATATTGGGAATAGGTAGAAACTCTAGTTAAGGCTTATCCTCCTACTAACAAAGGACCATGCATCTCATAAAGGAGAACTGTAGACATTTGTGACACACTCCCAAGCTTCAGTTGACATAAGAAGCGGGAAAAAAAAACAAATATCATAACAAAACAATTAAACTCAGAAATGGAATAAAATCCTTCCAGTCAGATGGAAGATAAATATGTCAATTCAATATCGAAGAAAATTAAAAATGAATGATCAACTAGCAATAAAATATATACACATATACATAATAGATTCTAGAACAGGGTGAATTCACTGTATGAAAAAAACATAATACGAATATTTGTTATAACTTATCCTCCAGCGAAAAGCTCTTTAAGGAAAGAAATAGCCATCTCAAAATTTATAAGGCCTCCCAGTACCATACTCCTTGGAGACTCATGGGTATCTATATAAGATATCGGACTCAGCAAAAGCACTCAATGCGATATGTGAAAAAGAACAAGCTCATAAGGAGGCCAACTCCCCAGCAGATGATCTTCCACTATAGGGATTTCAAAGGAGAATGAGCCTTGGGGATGTGCTATCAATGCTTTTTATGTGGAAGCATAGTTAATCACACTAATCAACTAAATGGAACTGTAGAAAGAGTATTATAAGGTTTAAATAGGATTTCAAATAACTAAAAAAAAATAGACAAGTTTACGGAAAAGTAGAGCACTCGAAATAAATGTATGCAAGAGTTTAGGCATGCATGTATGTACAAGAATATTATGTTTATTAAATTTAACTAAAAATGGACCAAATCCTTAAAAGAGATAGATTTTGAGCATAACATCTGTAGATAAAAAAGAAATAAGATATTGAGAAAGAAACATTATTAGGTGATGAATGAGAAAGAAACATTATTAGATGATAAATGAAAACATTATACTTGAGAGAAAACTGAAACTTCTAAAAAGACAAAAACAATGATGTATAACATACTAGTATCATTGAGTCCTCAAACACCATAAACATAAATTTTGCATTTGCAAAACTTCGAATAATTGTATGAGGATTTGCTAATAGCCTATGATGCATAGATATTGATACAGACAACAGTACCAATATATTGATACAGACAACAGTACCAATACAGTAGCACATACACGACTCAGATTTTCTCAAAAATCCAGGACTAGGATACAGGCATATGGTATCCTATTTAACACATTGAAAATGCGGGATATATATATATATGAAAATGCTAAGGTTAGCCCACTAGCTCATATCAACATGAACCCAACGGCCTAAATTGAATCTGGGCCGATTTGACGGTCACGACCTCATTTCGTATTTGAATTTTAATATTTTTTTCTGCAAATCCAAATTACATGAAATTTTAAACATCCATTCTTCTCATTAAAGCGCACCTAATAAAAATATTAAAAAAATAATTCAAAAAAAAATAAATCGATCAAAATACCCCTGAAAATTTTGGGGGGTATTTTGATCGATTTATTTATTGTAACTTATTTTTAAAAAAAAATTATTAGATTCTCCAATTTGTAAAGAATGCATGCCTAAAATTTCAAGTTATTTGGAATTTTAGAAAAAAATTAAAATTCAAATACGAAATGAGGTCATGACTGTCATATCGGCCCAAATTCAATTTGGGCCATTGGGCTAATATGTTGATATGAGCTAGTGGGCTAACCTCAGCATTTTCTATATATATATATATAACTTTAAACTTTCCCTTGACCCATCCCATGACCGAGTAAAGGAGTTGGGTTGTGTTAAGTAGGCAACCAATGCAAAACTTTGCCAAAATTTATCATGAATCCTGAACCTACAAGCCGACCCCAATTACTGGGCAAAAGACTTTGACGATGATGATGATGATGATGATGATATATATAGATATATACATATATATATAACACAATAACTCTACCTGAAAATGTGACCTAGTTAACAAACAAGATGCATGAAAAATAGGGATTCATCATCCTGAAGTGTTCTAATATTATTTTGCACATCATCCTTAACATTACACAAGGATTCAAAAACTCAAAGAACTTCAAAGTACCAAACAGGATATTGCTGAACTGCTTCCCCACACTATCCTCTACTGGAACAGGTACCACACTATATCAAATGTGGTGCCTTGGGCATATAAAGCTATCCATGCATCGTAGCGAATAGTAATAATTGCTGGTATTCCAAATTGCATAGTATCGAACTTTGAGCATACCCCAACAAAGCATCAAACCAAACATAGATCGTTTGCTTATTGTCATTTGGCACAGGAATACCCCATTCTACTGATGCACGGGAAATGGAGAAATCCCGCAACCCATTCTTCACCCAGCCCAATACCTAGACAAAAGTTTCTATCAAATTAGAAATTACCAAAGAGAAAACAAGTTAATTAATTGCTGAAAGGAAAAAATGCAATGTAATATCGTATAATGTTCTCATTCTTACTGGGATATGATGCGCCCCTTCTTAATGGAGTATTGACATCTAGAATGAATTTTGATACATGTAATTACTAATTCATGGGTCGGTAAACTTGCCATACTACATAAAACGACTCTTTTTCTTTTTCCCTATTTTTTCTTAAACTAATGTTATAGAATTAAACATGGAAAGGTCCCAATAAGACATTAGGCTTAATCAAGTCAGACCCAATTACCTAAGACAAATTCAACAAAATACTCAGCTTAAAGCATTTTTTGCAAGTAAAATAGAATATCTCCAATCAGAGACAAAAGTTTACTGCTCAAAAGATGAAAATTCCCTAATAACATATGAAAGGAGGGTTCTCCATATACAGCAGACAATTGTGTTTTAAGTTTTCAAACACATTCCCATTAGTAAAAGACATAAGCTTTGTGGCTTGCCAAGCAAATTGTAATGCATCAAGCCCTAAAGATGTGAAAGCTCTATAGAGGGGAAAAATAAATAAATAAATAATCCCAACAAAAAAAGGGATTGTATACTATGAGACTATTTATCTTTGGTACAAGGAGGTCCCAATTGGTACTAGCCATTAGATGTACAATTAGATGGCTTGGAGTGTGTCACAAAGTTCAATAAAAACTTTTTTAAACTTTGAATTTAATCAATGACACTCATAACCAACCAATTTGAAATCTGATGGACAGGAGTGATTGTAACTTCCTTGTATTGGAAGTAAATGGTCGCCTTGTATACTTTCCCATGAAAAAATCAAGAAAAAAACAGTAACCATTTTGGTCAAAGCGGTTGGCAGAAAGTGTGTTGCTTTGCACCAAATAGGACAAAGAAGAGAACGCCATGGGCCTTCACAAAAAGTACCTCATTCAAGCGAAAGGGGGGCTGTACGAAATCAGACTGTGCGGCAAGAATATCTTCCAGTTGTTTTTGGTATTTAGATAAGCTAAAGAAGTAATTGTTTTCTTTCCGTAAAAGACACGGCTTTAAGTGCATAGGGCAATGGTTGTTTTCAAGCAGCTCCTTCTCATCCTGGACCAATTAGAATCAAAATTAAAGACAGAAACTGATGTTCAAAACAGATGATGGAAGTATACATTATTCATTGCTTCCTTTTTCAGATAAAAGGAAAGAACAATCATTCATTGAACATGAAATCTTGAAACATTGCAATCTTGTATCGGTAAGACTATCTTCTATGTACAATAACATGGTGGATAAAATGTCCCAATTCCAAGAAGTCAATGAATCAAGTGAAATACCATTGAAAGATAAAGAGAATTCTAACAAATCTTCTAACCTAGTGTCAAGAGTAAAAATAACACCTTGTATTCTTCACAATTGACACAATAAAGTCCCTCGTAATCTGCACAATAGATGTCACCCTTGCTGAAAACTTTTGAGTAGAATTCCTTCACAATTTCTTCATGCACAGGATCAGAAGTGCGAATGAATTTGTCATAAGATATGTCAAGCTACAAAAGGAGACAATATAAAAATGCCTCAAACGATGAAAACAAGGAGCCATTTGTTTGTATTGTAGTGGCAAATGTAGAGAACAAAAAATAATATAGTTATGAGGATGCATCAAAATGTGGCTCAAAGGACTCGACAAGAAATACGCACATTGTGAATATGAACAGAAATTATTATTTTTTTCATGCATCTATATGAATAGAAGAAACATGTGACAATAATGTACATCTTTCCAAAGCATCTGGTAAGCATGTGATATAGTATCACAATGTTCCTTGGGACTGCACCCATGAGCTGCTGCAGCTGTCGCAATTTTCTCCCCATGCTCATCTGTTCCCGTAATAAATATTACTTTTTTCCCCAGTAGTCTCTGGCAACGAAAAAAAAAGGGGGGGAGTTAAATAGTAAATTCCCATTCTTTAGAATTGAAACAGAGGTAAACTTTTCAATCAACGGTATGATCATATGAATGCATTCAGAGAGCAATCTTTATATCAATAATATAGACTTTTCTTACCAATTAAAAAAAAAAAAAAACAGTACAAGAAGAACCTTCTCTTTTTTCATAATGGGACTAGAAACACATGGAAATCCAGAAAAAGAAATGAGGAATGATAATGACAAAAATTTGGAAGAAGGTCTGATTTTGAGTATATATCCAAAAGGAGGGGAGAAACACAAGGGGTTGTAAAAGTGACAATAAAGAATAACTGATCTGAGTACATCCTAATACAATAAAGAATAACTGATACGAGCATATCACAAAGGAAGCTATTAGCTAGTCAAGCACACAGTACCAATCTATGTATCATTTAATAACTAAACAAACAGTACATCTGTATGAATAAACAGCATAGAACATAAAAAGTTATAAATGTTGTTTTGTCATGGATTGCATTACAACCACAAACTTGTAACAGTCATTGAAAACTCAGCATGTCCGGCTCAAACTCTCCCAAGTGACTCAGAGGTCAGAACCGGCACCTTCCGGAACAGAAAGACTTGGATGATCTGACTATGATTGAGTTTGACCAGAATCTACCTGAGTATTTCCAACTTCAGAGAATCCAGTGAATATTCTACAAAGAATATGGTTTTCTAACGATGAGACTCGCCTAGTCGACTCCCCCCAGAGCCAAGTCCAGGGGTGAGACCGATGTTGAAAACACTGACTCGTACTATAAAAACTTAAAAGAGTTTATCAAATAAGTCTGCAAATGAGTTCATGGCACAATAATGGGAACTAAACTATATGCTTCCTGTTGTTTCAACTTCAATTACAAATCATTTACCATGTGCTCATGAATTCTAGGTTCAATAAAACTGAATAAATGAGTTTCCAATTCAAGTTCTTCAAATGACAAGGGTTTTTCAGAAAAAGGGCTAACCTCAAATCAAACATGATATTGAAAAGCAGTCCAATTACTAAAGGAAAATGACATAAACTTTAAAAGACGATGTGAAAATGACAAAGCCGGCCAATAATTCCCAGATAGAACTCGTGTCTATTTTAAAAGTGTGGCAATCGCCATTGCCTCTGATCACATTCAATCAACCGGTGTACCAGGACTTGGCCGAGTCCACTCGAACTCAGCCGAATTACTCGGCCTCGCCCATAGAGATGTGTGACCACTAGGAATATTTAAAAAAATAAAAAAAGAAAGGAAAAATTGTAAAATCAAGTTATGTTATACAATTTTTGTTACATGATTTGGATGTAGTTGGCAAAGCGTGGTGAGTGCTTTTTGCCATAATCACATTTTTATATTTTCTATTTTAATTTTTTTTTAAATATCCCAACTGTAAATTCGGTTTTTTTAAATCCATGTTTTCTCTATTTTTTTAAGCCTCTTTTAACTTTTTAAAGGTGTGTTAGGTTTGAATTTATTTTTAATACATGTTTTTTAATTTTCAACTTTTTTTTGTAATTTGCTTTATATTTTTTCAAGCGCCTTTTGGACCTGTGATGGACTTGGCCAAGCAATCTGCCTCAGCCACGGTGCGAGTCCCCTAGTTGAGGCGAGTCTGCGAAGACTGCAATCGACTATCACAAATCATGGCGAGTCTGCGAAGGCTGCAATCGACTATCAAAAATCATACCTTGAACAGATCAGAATTGATTAAATTTCTTCATTTTCCAAATGCAATTACTACTAGCAAAGAGGGAAAGTACACTGCTTACAACTGACACCATTCAATCAAAAATTGAAAGCAGAGATCAAACTTAATTAAATAAATAACTATCTTTTGTTAAATTATAATTATAGCAATTACGGCAAAGAGAAAACTAAACAGAGCAAATGATTTTTTCAGCTCTTTTCTCCTCTTCTGCTTTAAAAGAAAACAGAAAACAAGTGGACTGGTGACGCATGCATCTCCAAACAGTAAACAATCGCTTGAATGATTCCAATTATCAATCTATCAAACCAAAAGTAATCCTCAAATCCCCCTTTTTTTACTGATATAATCCCTCTCAAACTACTGAATCCACAAACTAAACTAAAGACAGAAACAAGGAATTATTGCTTCCTTAAACCCGAACAAAGATTGCAATCCAAAAAATGCTACCAACTGGTAAGAAGCTCCAAGTCTCAATCCTAGGTCTCAGACTCAAACTTACCACCATTAAACAGTGACTAAAAAAAAAAAATTCTCAAAAACAAAATTTGAAAAGTTACAGTTTACTATTAAGGAGAAAGCGAACCTGAAAACCGGAAAAAATGAAAGCAATGAATAAACACTAAAACTTCCCAAAACAACATAGATTGATAAGCTACAGTCCATGGCCGAGGAGACAAAGAACCTGAAAACGAGCAATGGCATCAGCTGCTATGGTAGAGTAAGCACTTCCCATATGAGGAGGGGCATTCACATAGTAAAGGGGAGTCGTGAGAACAAAGGGCTCAGCTTTCACGGAAGCTGAGCCAGAGGATTCAGACATGCTGCAATAACTTATCGCCGAAGAAGAAGAAGGTGAGAATCGACGAAATGAAAATGGCAAACAATGGATGGGGAATATTTTTGAAGAGGAGCGAAAGGAAGAGAGAGGGGGGATGGCTTGGTAGTTGCAGAGAGCTCGACCGGCCATCGTAGCGGGGACTTAGTAGTGAGAGAAAGCTTGTGCAGTGAGGGGACCGGGACTTGAAGGCTCTCGATAAGAAAAAGATAAAATTGTCTAAAAAGGGGGGAGAGAGAGAAAGAGAGAGAGAGCGCGAGAGTTTTGCCCTGCGATGAGAGAGAAGCTCTACACTGAGAGAGAGAGAGAGAGAGAGCGAGAGTTTTGCCCTGCGATGAGAGAGAAGCTCTACACTGAGAGAGAGATGAGGGCAATCTAGAGAGAAAGGGGGGAAGTCTACAGTAGAGACAGAGGAAGGTAATCTAGAGAGAGAAAGAGAGGGAGGGTAATTTACAATTCAGAGTAGTGGTGCGAACGGGTCAGTCCCGGAACCTGACCCGGACTCACATCCAAACTCAAATACTGTTGGGGTCCAAGTTTTGGATTAGGATTCACCCTTTGGAGTCCAAAATTTAAACCCATAGCAGGACTTAGGTAAGGTCTACTCGTTGGGTCCCCGATCTGGTGAGATCTATTGCCATATCTTATGATTATGATTTTTTTGGGAAAAGTTTATATAGAGCGTCGCTCTAAACAGTCAAATTAGAGCATACCTCAAAAATTTAACTAGAAGAAATTGTTTTGATGTCCAAATTGATCATCTTTACATCAAGATGCATGGATTTGAGAAAAAAATAGATTTAAGTTTTGAAAATAGTGGATGTTATAACACATTTTTTTACAGTCAATTTTTAAGTTATTCAAGTTTTCATAAATTTGTTCGAGAAAAAAATGGATTTTCTCAATACTATTTGAAGGTGGGTTTCTAATTTGATTGTTTAGAGCCTCACCTCTATACAAACCGCACCTCTATTTTTAACCTTTTATTTTACCGTCATATATCAATATTATTATCATATATCCATATTATTGACGATATTTACTGTATTGCACAATATTTATGAATATTTACATATGCCCACATTTATTACTATTTCATGTAATAAATGTAAATTCTTAAAATACAAACATATTGGCAACAATTATGAATACCCATATTATTCAAATCGGGACCAACTAGATGCAAAGTTAAATAGTAAATGAGACCAGGTTTTGGACTCTAACCCGATCTTTTCGAGTCCATAATTTGGATCCATACCCAAACCAAAGGTCAGATCTACCCCTTCTCTCTCGTCCCCCATGCGTCTCGCTCACCTCCACTTTTATAGTGAGGAGGAAGGGGAGCCGAAATGAAGCAAAAGGGAGTGAAAAGGCGCAGACGAAGAGACCAAGCATAACTCTCTTATTTTATATCCAAGAACAATAAAGAGACATTCCACTTAATCCCACCTATTTGTGATTTTGTTTTCTATTATGGGTGATCCTATTTGGAGCTTTCACCTATTTGTGATTTTGTTTTCTATTATTGGTGATCCTATTTGGAGCTTTATTATAATAAATATCGTATTAAAATTTATTTGTAAGAATATTTCTTGCTTGTGGAATTTTTTGTAAAAAAGTTGGACTAAAAATACCTTTAAAGCAATTTAAGGGTATTTTGGTTAATTTTTTTTTAAAATATTTTTTATCGATTTTTGTTTAAAATATTTTTTATCATTTTTATTTGATGTGCCATATAAAAACGTGGGTGCAGTTGGCATACGGATGCATTCGTAGCTGTAGATGTAAGGAGCACCTTCAAAATTTATCATGTTATATAATTTTGATATAAAATGTTCTTAGGATTATCTCAAAATCTATTTTTATATCTAATTATAAAATTTTAAATTTCAAAAATAGTTAAAATCAAGTAGATCTCTAAACATATGAAATCTTGAAAATTGACGGTGTAGATAATATGTTGTAAAATGCACTATTTCTGAGACTTAAAATCTTTTTATTTTTCATGGTCATACATCTCGATGTTGAGATGATCAATCAAAGGGTTTTTCAACATTAAAACTAAATTTTTGAGGTGCATCCGTAGTTCTACATTATAAGGTTGCATCCTTATATAATTTTTTCCTAAAAACATACACAACAAATTTCAAATAAGCATCATTTTTAAGTAAAAAAATAAAGCTCTTTAGCGGCCGTTGGATGTAACCATATTTAATCTAAAACATGCATCCTTCCACCGTTCACATTGTGTAGGCATGAGGTTTTCCTTGGAATTTTTAAGCCACCAAAAGAGTTTCTTGCACAATTTTTTAATCATTTAGCAAGATTTAGAGGTGCACCTTGCTTTGATTGTTTAAAGTTGATACCTAAAGCCCACAAACTTAGACTCCTAAAAATTGGATCATCGACACAAGGATTTTAGGTATAAAGAATAACAATAATGCAAATTATAATATATACTTTTTCAAAATTGGAGTGGGAAAATTAATGGATTTCAACACTCAACAATGCGAGCACAATATATGAAAAAATTAAAAATCCCTTTTGGTTTACCATAAATCACAGGGAGTAAAAACAAGTACAATATGGGCAATCATCACTGCAACAGAAAATAAAAGAACAAAAACATGCTTATGGACCTGGAGGACCTCGTCCAATAACTATAAAAGAACATAAACAATCATTGATGCCATAGAAAATAAATAAATAAATATAAATCTATTTATTGATGGACCTGGAGGAACAGGAAAAACATGCTTATGCTTAGCCATATTAACATCTGTAAAAAAAAAAAAGGAGATGTTGTTTCAACTACAACTAAGCTTCTGGGAGGGTATTATAGCTCTTTCAAGATTTAAAATACATTTATATCCTATAAAAAAAAATCAGTTTGTAGAATCTCAAAATAAAGTGAAACAACATGACTTATTTCATAATTATATTAAAGTTATTAATCATATGGGATGAAACACCGATTATATCCAAGTATGTGTTTGAATGTTTAGATCGATTATTGCAAGATATTATGTCAAACAATGACATATTTGGAGGCAAAATTATTGTACTCGAATGTGATTTTAGACAAATAGTAGTAGTCATCCTTGGAGATGCCTGAGATGAAATAATCAATTCATGTTTGACGAAATCTTTTTTATGGCCAATGAATACAAATTTGAAATTAAAAGAATAAATAAAATGAGAGCACTTCATGACCCATAGTTTACCTCATTTATAATTCAAGTTGGAGATGGGACAGAAAAAGTTACAATAAGGACTTCGTCAAATTACTAAATGAAATGTGACCAGTGACAAAAATGAAATGTATGATTTTACAAGAGATTTTATAGATTTTGCAGACATTATGGAATCATGTATATTAGCAACAAGAAATGATATTATTGTTAATTTAAAATGATATTGTGATATTAGATTTTCAGGAGAAAAATAAATTTATTATAGTTTTGATTATGCTATAGATCATCATCATCATTTTGACCTTTTTTCAATTATTTGGGAGTGGGCTACATGAATCTTGGTTCTTCATTCTACTCTATTAAAAGCCATATCCTCAGTGAGACCATAAATCTCCATATTTTTTCGGACTATTTCCAACCACGTCTTTTTAGCCCTATCATTTTTTCTCTTCAGTCATTCTACTTGAACTAATTCGCACCTCGATCGGTGCCACACATGACCAGCCCACCTAAGTCTACTCTCTCTTATTTGATTACCTATTGATGACACGTCTAAATTCTCTCGAATAGATTCATTCCGAATTCTATTCCTTCTTATCTTGTTACTCATCCATCTCAACATCTTCATCTCCGCTACACTCATTATATGGGTATATTGTTTTTTATCTTCTCAACACCCCGTTTCATAGAGCAATGCCGGTCTCATCATTGTAGATAACAAATACAATTCATTTTAGAATAGGTTATCAATAAATTGAACCCAAGTGGGTTGCCACATCATATAGTATGAAAAATGTGTACCGTCATTAGTCCTCTTAATAAATTTAATTAAAAACACAAATTTAATTCAAAACATGGAATGGTCAATCGTTCAAGACTTGTAAGTAAATCATTTAAAATAAATGTCATAAAAGCCGAAATTATTATAGGAACTCATTATGAAAATAAAGTATTTATTCCAATAATTTAAGTACAACCATATGAAGATATAAGCTTACCAACAAACTTCAAGGCAAAACAATTTTCCATTTGATTTGCATTTGCAATGAGTATCAATAAATGGCGAGGACAAATCATATGAAATTTGGGCATTTAATTATCTGATGATGTATTTAGTTAGCCAACTTTATATAGCATCATTTAGAGGAATCTCTATGAAACAGACTAAGATATTTACAAAAAGAAAAAATATTGACCAAATTAAGGGTTATTGTCTAAAGAAATAGTGTTTACACAGGAAACATAACTTTATGTGGTTGGCATAAATTTGAACTCTTATCCCAATATGAGCATTTGGAACCTTTTTTTAACATATTATTAAGTATTGCATATATAGTTGAACAAGTGTGTTTGTGAAGAGCAGTGATTGATAAGATGTGAAACTACTAACCCACATCCAATAGAATTTGACAATATGCACTGTAGCGATAAAATATACTAGTATTTTTAGATCATGTTTTGAAGGAAATTGTGAAGTTTTTCCTTTTTTATATGACTCTAGGTGCGGTTTGTATAGAGCCAAGGCTCTAAACAATCAATTAGAGCCTACCTTCAAATAGCGTCAAGAAATAATGTTTCAATATTGGCAATCTTTGTGATAGTTTTAAAATATATTTTCATCTTTGATTATAAAATTTAAAGCTTAAAAAATAATGTAGATCGAGTAGATCTATGAAAACGTTAAAATCTTGAAAATTGACAGTCAAAAAATGTATTATAAGATGCACTATTTCTAAAACTCAAAATCCATTTTTTTCTCATGTCTATGCATCTTGATTTTGAGATGATCAATTTGGGAATATTTAGGCATCAAAACAACATCTTCTAGTGAAATTTTGGAGGTAGGCTCTAATTTGATTGTTTAGAGCCTCAGCTCTATATAAACTTCTTCCTTTCTTTTATGCATGCGTTGTACAATTTAGCTCCTTAGCAATTTCACGGTAGCAGCGCCCTACTTGGCAATGTTTTCATTAAATAATCTTCTTCGTTGGATAATTTATAATCCACTTGGGCTATCTTTTTTGAACTTTGACTGAAGTTTTTAAATAGGAAAATTGTTTCATGTGGGTTGGACTGTATTTCTATATATGCTGTCAAGTAGATTTTCTATTTAAAAACAATGAAAACTAACTGTCCAAATGTTTTCGTACTAGAATTATTATTTCTAGGTTTTAAAACTAATTTATATTTTCATATTCATGATCTCCATGTCAGAGATTACATGTCTTTAAAAATTAAGCCTTTAAATGCATTTAAAAGATCGATTTATTAAGAGGCCCTCATTTCTACAATACATTTAAAAGATCGATTTATTAAGAGGCCCTCATTTCTACGTATGCGGGATTGGGCGCATAGAAACATGGTCTTTTTTATATATGGAAAATAATAGAATAAGACAATTTACCTTTTGTACAAGGTGGTCACAATTAATCTTGACCATTGGATGTGAAATTGGGTGGCTATGTTTATTCCATTGACCAAACTTAAACTTCAAAATATTTTTTTTGAACTTTATGACGCACCCAAACTATCAAATTTCATATTGAATAGTTGTAAGTAATTGTGACCACCTTATATCAAAAGTAAATGGTCTCATTGTATACAATCCTTTTATATAATTAATATTGAGAAATCCTCACATCATGACATAAGTATGATATTGTTCGCAGTTGTAAAAGCAATTTTAAACGCATGTTTTCATTGCTCAAAACTAAATGGAAAGTTAAGATATAATCAATAAATGGAAAGTTCACATATAATCAAGCTATTGTCCGCTCTTTTTGTAATCCTCCTTTGTTTGAAATGGACAAGTCCTGGATAACACTTTCAATGTTGATGCTCCTATTGCGCAGTATAATACGTTTGCAACATTGTTTAGTGCATTTTTTGGTTTTCTTTGATTGATTTGTAAATGAATTACAAACAAGTAACTTCGTCAACTTACATTATTAAAATGAGAAACTATTTCTTTTATGATATCATATCCATCATGTGAAATTTGGTGATTTTCTAATGTTGTAAGTAGGCAATTCAATCTCTCTCTACAACAAACCATCGTATGCTCTTTTATACGAATTTTAGCAAATTAAGCACGACTGACCATTATCATCATCATTTTAACCTTTTTCCAATTAATTAGGATCGGCTACATGAATCTTAATTCTAAAATATACGTACAATACACGTGCATTTTGCTAGTACAAATAAATAAATTTGAGCTACCAAATATTTGTAGGGCATCTAGTTCGAATACCCAAGTTGTTCTCCTACCGCACATTGCTTGCAATTTGGAAAGAGAGTTTTATTGGGCAAAAGGTGTGAAAGAGAGGAAGTGAAGATACCCCTCCATGATTTAATGGACTAGAGGGAGAGTACTCGAGAGAAAAAATATATATGAATAATGATTATACAATTGAAGGAGTATATTGTTGATGTACTTCCTCAGGTAAAATCCATTTGGGATTAATTTCAAGACCCCAAAATTTAGGGATGTAACACCTTCAATCCATATATTAACCTCAATAAAAGAAATTATAATTCGACCCTTTATGTACTTGAAGAGAATAATGTTTCAAGATTGAATAGAGACTATCCAATTTGTAAAAGGTGAGATCTAAGTGCTAGAATATCAAAATTAAAATTTTCTCTATTAAGAATTATCATCTATTGATTCCTAGGTGGCTCTCAAAATTTAAGATAGAAAAAACATCCAAGTAGGGGCTTCTAACTGGGGCAGTGGATGTGCACCATGCTAAAATGGGAACATAGTAGTATGTGCGCTCTTATTAAAATCGCACTTCAAGCTACCTTACTTATAGAAGTAAAGTTGTGATGGTTTGCATAGTCCATTTTAGTTGGAAAATATAGATTTGACATGGTTTTTAATACAATATTGAAAAGTTAAATGTGTTTTAAAATGATGTCAAATGTGCATCATCTAAATAAAATTGATAGTGTGGATCAATGTTGTCAAATTCCTTTTGGAGCCTTTTTCGGTTTGCTTGGCAAAAGAAAGCAATTCAGTGCTTTGGCTGATTCAGATGATGACTTTAGAATTTTTTTTAAAAATTAATATAAATAAAATATACATTTACCTATAAAAATATATTAATATACTTTTTTAAAAAAAATAAAATAAATTAAAAAAGACAATTTTGTGCTTCGGCCAAAGAGGCTGAATCAAACCAAAGTGGGCCGAAGCGGCTCAAAGCAAGCCAAAACGGATGCACCTGAGCTTCACTTCACTTTTATCTGAAAATTCGAAGACTTCAACCTTTACAGCTGGAGTGAAATGATTTTGATAACATTGGTGTGGATTATTGCAACTTTAATTCTACGAGTAAAATAGCAACTTTATATAAACTTTTTTGAATAAATAATTCTAAAATTAAAAACCCCAAACACATAGGAAAACGAAAAATTTAATTGCCAATGAAAGCAAAATATTAAGCTCGAGAGAAGCACCAAGTATATCTGCAAGATAATGTCATTGGACTGGTGATCATATTAAGCTCAGGATAAGTACAATCAACTAGTTGGCGCTCTAATGAACTTCTCCTCTCTAAGTGAATGACTTCTCTAGAAAAATAATTTCATTAGAACTCCAGGCTCTTTCGATCACTGGTTCAATTACATTCTTTCATATCTACTTGATTTTGTAAAATACTACGTAATTTTTTAAAATAATATGATTTAAGACAATAACTTTTCAAAAATGTTTCTTTATGGAAAGAGAAAAGGTATGGATTTTAATCCCATATTGAATAATAGAGAGAGAAAAGTGGCATATTTATGTGGATAGAATTTATTTGGAGCACATAAAATGGGTATAGACACATGAATTGCACTTCACACACTCACATCTTTCGCAAGTTGCGATGCATACTTGATTTCCAAGTCACATTGGATAGCATGCATGGCCATTAGTATAGCCATTGTGTTTAGGGCTCGGTTTTTATGTGGCCAAGCCCGTTATGTAGAAATTCGGGTCTCTTAGTAAATCTATTTTTTGAGATGGATTTTAAGACTTAATTTTTAAAGACATGTAATTTCTAACATAGAGATATAAATAGAAAAGAATTAATAATTTCTTAAAACTATATATACTTATTCTAATAAGAAAACATCAGAACCGTTAGTTTCCATTGTTTTTAGATAGAGAACCTACTTGCATCCATTTTTAAGATGGATGGTTTGCATTTTTTGGACGGCATAAGTAAAAATGCAGTACAGCCCGCATGAAACAATTTTCCTTCTGTTGGGAAATGATTATTAGATGCTTTGGCAGTTGGTGATTACTAGGCAGTTGGTATCCTCAAAGTGAGGAAATATGTTTGGATTGTGCTTTAAGGGGAGAGAGGACAATCAAGTCATCAAGCATACCTTACAGAATTAGTTAGGTCACCAAAAAATTTTGATTTTTTTTTAATATATTAATGAAGACATCATTTATCAAAACCTCATCATCACATCAATAATATGATTTAAGAAGGTTTTAAAGTAGGTAGCTCATTTGAATTTACAAAACAAACTAGAATAATTGTTAGTTTACACATTTTTTGCACCTCTTACATCCAATAGGGGCTCAAGGCTAGATGATCAAGATGGCAGATACTACAATGTGACGTGTTCCACTCTTCCTGACCGGGCTAGGGGATTTTGCTAGATTACCTAAAAAACAAAAAAAATGACACGGTTTCTATAAGTCCATATAGAAAAAAATAACACGGTTCCTATAAGTCCATGTAGAAATGAGGCACGTCTTAAAAATCTTTTTTTGAGATTGATTTTTGGATCTAATTTTTAAGGACATGTAATCTCTAATATGAAGATCATGAATATGAATATGAAAAAAAAAAAAAAGAAACTTTTAAAAATTAAAAATAACTTTTGAAAATTAAAAATAATTATTATATTAAGAAGATATTTGACATCCACCTTTAAAATGGATGCCTTATACATCGGGACCGCAAATGTAGAAATGAGGGCCTCCAGCATGAAATTTTTTTCTCAAAAAAAGACACCCAGGGAACTTTTGAGTAGAGTTGAGTCACCTCAACCATCCAATTTTAAATCCGACAGCTTGGGGAATTCGGACGTAGAATCACACTCCACAGCCATCCGATTATACATCTTGCCGATTGAGGCGTTTGAGACCCCTGCGGGCGAGAAGGCAAAGGTCACATGAGTACGGAAAAATATTAGACTTATATACTGATGAATAAGCGCCTGCTTCTCACCTTTTCTATGGCAACGGTGAGAACGCGACCCTAAAGCTCGAGCTTCTGCTATCAATGGCGGAGAGCGCTGATTATGGGCTCAAGTGCATCGTGAAACTCGGTTAGCAAAACCCATTTCCCATTTTCATCTCTCTCTCTCTCTCTCTATTTCTCTCTCTCCCCTCTTCACTGTACTTGTTAATGTATTTGTAGGAGATTTAAGGAGCTAGTCATTATGCATTACAGTTTTTGTTTTTTCATGATGGGAACCCTGTACGAGTGTCTCTTTATCACTCGATGTGCACTATGTTATCTTTCTCATTGATGATCAAGTGGGAGTTTGTATTTCTCACACATGTTTTAGAATCATGTAGTTTCTCACACATTGGTTTGGGGAGAGAGAGATGGGGTTTTCCATGAGCAAGTTCTCATTAATTAAGATCAGTTTCTAAACCATTATCCAGCTGCATAACTGGTATTTAACTTCTTATGGAATCAGTGTCCTCCTTCCTATAGGATCAGTGCCCACAATTTTGGATTCGTGGCATTGGTATCGAGTTAAGCCTTTTAACCCACTAACCCCAGAACCCAAATTGTTTGGAAAAGTTTATTTTCAATTATTTTATGATCGATTTGTTTTTTATAGTGGAATTGTTCACATCCTGCATCATAACTAGTGCTTAACTTCTTATGGAATCAGTCCCGTTCCCATAGAATCAGCGTCTGCCATTTTGGATTCATGACATTCGTAATGTGCAAAGCTTTTTAACCAGTTCTGATATTGAATTGTTCAGGTGGTGCTGCAATTACTCACAAACATGAATTTGAGGAGAGAAACAATGAAAATCTGAGTCTAGTTGCCTCACAATTGAGAGAAGCAATAATGGGTTCTTCATGGCATGGGCACGGGATGGATTGGAGCAAACGTATTGAAAATAACCACAAAGATTTTGCACATGAATTTGGGGATCAAAAAATAGATTCAAGTGCCTTCGTTGTGGTTCATGGAGCAGGTGACATGTCCCTTTAGACATATGGTTTCATTTTGTTCTTAGCTAGTCAACTTGTTTTGTTTATTATGCCAGTCAAAATTTTTGTTCAAATTGTTCTAACTTTGATGATAAGAATGATAACTACTAGCATTACTATTTGTATTCTTTTCATACCCTTTTTCCTGTCTTTATTCATCCGGTCGATAATATCTCCATCAAAGTGGAGACTAGAAACTACAAGGCCACAATTAACAAATAAATTTTAGACTAACTAAACCACGCTAAGGATCTGTTTGGATACCTAGAGATGCATGTCCTGGGGAGATGCCTATCCTGGAATTGGCATCTCCTGGGACCAGTGTTTTAAAATGCGGGATGCAGTCCTGATGAGGTCATGGGGAGGTAAATATAAAAAATTCCAAAAAACTCAAAGAATAGGTTATTACATGGAAAAAATATGGCGGTGATTGATGTGATAGTAGGTATTTAATTTATTCATTAACTCCAATATTATCAGTTGTCGAGGACTCTAAATTCCCTTATAGAAGACATTAGAAATAGAAAGTAGAAACTTGAAACTAACTTTATAGAAAACATTAGAACTTAGAAGACATCGTATTATCATAATTCATAATCTTTTTGTTTTTTTTAAGCTATCCATGTGTTCTCTAATCTCCCTTTTAATCTCTTCTGCAGCTTGTGGGAATGCTTTCCCTTTCTCAATAATCCCGGATGAGTGTTGTTTTTGGCAAAAAATACCCCTTGCATAAGTATTTCCACAAAGTGTACAAATAACATCAATTTCGATTTTTTGGATTTTTGAGTTTTGCATAATTCCAAGCCGGATATTTGTTACTCTAAGATTGTGAAAAAAAGATATTGCCCCCAAAACAAAGTGTACGATTTAGGAAATAAACACTTACTGACTGACTGAATAAAATTTTCAAATCTTCTTGGCCCTTGAAACTCTCGATATGTTGATGAATATATGCTCAAACTTCTTCAAAACAATGCCCAAGCTAAACCCAATTGACAACCCAACCAACACCCAGAGCAAATTGAGAAATTTTTTCAAGAAGCATTTCTGCCAATTTTTTTTTTTTCTCTTCGTTTGATCCAAAAACAACCATATTTGTGGCTGGTTTTTGTATTTTTCATTTTTTTTTTTTGGGGGGGGCGGGGGTGTGTTGGGTTTAATATCCCCAAAACCCTTTCCCTTCCTTTTTTGGAGGTGGGGAATTGAAAAAAATGCCATGCTTGTGGGCACTATTTTTGTCCACACTATGCGGTGGGATGTGGCGCATATGCAGGTGCATCCCACCAAAGCACATATGCCCCCCTATGCGATACGCTTTGGGGTGCATAGCTCATTATGCGGCCTCATATGTGGCGATGCAGCCATATTTTAAAACAATGCTCGGGATTTCGGTGCACATAGCGCATTATGCGGTGATGCGATCGCATTTTAAAATAATGCTGGGGAGTGGCATCTCCTGAAGTATGGTAGCTCTACTGTTTAGATAGCATTTGATAAGAGACCTGGAATATGCATGTCCACTTTTTGGATTGTCTGGAGGATGTGTTTCTCATAAATTATTACATTTTTGTTTTGTATTATTCCTATCATACTGACTAGGGCAAGATTTTAACTCACATGCTTTATGAAATCACATGTTTTCCCCAGCCAATATGATGGGAATAATGCAAAACAAGGATGTAATAAATTTATGAGAAACACATACTCCAGGCAATCCAAACAGTGGACATGCATCTTCTAGGTCTCTTATCAGATGCCATCCAAACAACAAACACCCATATTCTAGGAGATGCCAATACCAAGAGAGGCATCTCCCCAAGGCATGGCATCTCCCCAAGGCATTCTTCTCCTAGTGTCCAAACAAGACCAAAATGTGTATTCCACCTATTTCGGTGGAATACAGATCTCCATGTTTTGGCCTCAAAATGTGGACACAGATATCCACGTGGAGAGTGAAATTCTCTCTCCAGATGGCATCCAAGTTGCGGAAATGCCTGGTCTCCATGGCAATGAGTCTCCTAGATACCTATTTTCAGATATCCAAACTGGCCCTAATGGTCCATTTAGATTGGGGACCCAAAAACAAAAAAAAATCTTGAAACTCAAGTTTTTCCCTAGGGAACTGATCAATTAATGGTTTCCTTATGTATCAGCTAAAAGATGCTGAAGAATACTCAACAATTCTCTAATGTCCCTGGTGATATTTGCTAGCTTGTTAGCAATTGTCTTATCTATTCGAGCTCATTTAATTGCATTGATGTGGTATTCTTCACTACAAGAGGACCTAAATTGATCTTCAAATGCTTTAAGAATGTTCAAAGCTTCACCTGGGTAAAGCACCCATATCTCAGTTTGTGTTCATATCACACTTAACTGCCAAATATGTATCTAATATTATTTTGAGTTCATCAAATTTGGAATGATACCCATTCTAGATGATTTTCCTTCTTTATAGGTGGATCTTCATCATCCTTTGTAATAATTGGAGTCATTTTGATGTATAGTAATACCTTATTATTTAATGTCACATTAAGGCATCATTTGAGTGGCAGAACAACTCCAACAAGGAAGGAAGAATTAAGTGTAAAACATAATTTTCTTTTTTCAGAGCTACGGATATTTTGGCAGTGCTTTCATAATAAGCGGGGTCAAGAATTTACCCATTGATAGTGGGGTGCACCAAGCTGGGCCATTTTTCACTCCCAAACAGATGGAGGAAGAATATGGCTTGTTCCCAAAATTTGGTCCGTCTAATGGGACCTAAGTTTTTTGTTTTTTTCCTTCTTTACATCTGTACTTCCAACACATTGCAACTCCTGTAAAATTTCATATCTAAGGTGTTCACTGGATATTTTCTGTAGGATCATTTGGGCACTTCCAGGCAAGTAGGTCTGGGGTTCACAAGGGAGGGCTTCACTTGCCCCTTGTGAGGGCTGGTTTCGTGGCCACGCGCATCTCTGTAAGATAAATCAGATAGAATCAGATGTTTGTCTATTAGTTATCAACTTATTTTTTGGTTTTCTGCATATTGAAGATTTTGATGTTTTCTCAATGTTTGCTTCTTTTCCTTTTTTGGTGAGATGGACATTGCCACTTCAGCATTTTATGTTATAAAATTACAAGAGTTCATATCAAAGTCGACTCTCATAATATGATTAATCAATAATATCTCGGCTTCTGCTATGCTAATGCCATTCCATACACTTATATTCATGATATACAGTAGTATAATTTTTTTTTTTTTGTTTAACCTTTATATTTATAGACAAATGGCAATACTTTAGTACATACACATTGTTCTAATAAATACTGTAATGAGATTTCAAAATGATGAAACATTACTGAGGCGCAAGAAATTAAATCTATGCTACTTAAATAATAGATAAATCTTTGCAAAGTGCGGATGTGCTCTCTTCCAGCAGAGCAAATTATCTTTATCAACACAAGTAGGGGGTCATGAATAGGTGGAGTCCATGGAAGAAACAATATAATGCAAAAAAAAAAAAAATTTCAAAATTCAAAATACAATTTTATTATCATTAATTTTTTAGTTTATCTTTTAATTTTAGGAATAGGAGGTGCGCAAGGATAATTAGGTGGGCATGAGTTTATTTTGTGCTTGAATTGATATTGATCAATTGGGTTGGTTAGTTTCTAAGAAAGAGGAATGTAAATACGATAAGGTTAAATCTAAAAGGGGTTTATCTTTTTCAACAATAGGTAACGTTTTGCCTTAGGGGAGGGTTTGGGTAAACATGGGTTATCTATTGAGTTAAGAGAGAGAAAATAGGGATGAGTGAAAAATAGGTTAAGAGAGAGAAAATAAGGAGGAGAGATAAAATATGAAAGTCCGTATAGAGAGGGATTTTTTGTTTAGTTATTGTTTATCTTCTTTTTAGTCTATTTAAAGGGAGATATCCCTTCATTGTAAATCGGTGAAAGTGAATGAGTTGAATAGAATTTGGTCTCGTGAAGAGATTGTTTTGGGGTGGATTCCCTCTCAGACCTTTGAGAGAGGGTATATTCTCTCAACCTTTCTTTTTTTTATTGTTATTTTTCTAGTTTTATTTTTTTCCTGCATCAATTGGTATCAGAGCAAGTTAGATCTAGAGATATTCGGTTTGTTTGACAATGCCACCAAAAGCTAATCCCGCTCTTGCTATGGATGATCGTTGGGGACAAGCTATAGAAAATTTGACTAAAGCCATAGAGGATTTTCGAACTGAAGTACATGAGATGAATCAGGAGAGGAATCAAAGAATGCAACGGTTGGAGAACAATCTTCATCGTGAGGAAGGTGCTCGCAGCCACATTCATCTTGCACCAGTAATTCCACGACAGACCCAGGGTGTTAATTTCAAGCGTAATGAAGAAATTTACGGGCCAAATCCACGTCCTATAGAGCGACCAAGAGATTTTAATATTAAAATTGATCTCCCAAAAATTTCACGGTCAAAGTTGTTCATCGATTGCATATGGTGTGTCTTTGGAGCTGGACCCATTCCTAATTAGGAATAATCATAATCAGCCCAAGCTCGTATTCAACAATTACTCTTGGAACATAGTTGCAGGCAAGAGTCTTACATTAGTCTTGAAGAAATTGAAGAAAAGGTGCCGAGGAGCATGGTGGGCTTACATCACCAATTAGCAAATGGTGATTGGCTTCAAGCTCGAGGTCGAGCTTCTCCCAACCCCGGGAGAATGATGCAAAAAAAAAAATTGAAAAATCAAAATACAATTTTATTATCATTAATTTTTTAGTTTATCTTTTAATTTTAGGAATAGGACGTGTGCAAGGATAATTAGGTGGGCATGAGTTTATTTTGTGCGTGAATTGATAGTGATCAATTGGGTTGGTTAGTTTCTAAGAAAGATGAATGTAAATAGGATAAGGTTAAATCTAAAGGGGTTTATCTTTTTCAACAATAGGTAACGTTTCCTTAGGGGGAGGCTTTGGGTAAACGTGGGTTATCTATTGAGGTTAAGAGAGAGAAAATAGGTTGAGAGAAAATAGGGAGGAGAGATATGAAAGCCCGTGTAGAGAGGGATTTTATGTAGTTATTGTTTATGTTCTTTTTAGTCTATTTAAAGGGATATATCTCTTCATTGTAAATCGGTGAAAGTGATTTGAGTTGAATAGAATTTGGTCATGTAAAGAGATTGTTTTGGGGTGGATTCCCTTGCAGACCTTTGAAAGAGGGTATATTCTCTCAACATTTCTTTCTTTTTATTGTTATTTTTGTGATTCTATTTTTTCCCTGCATCACAATATCTTTGTCAACACAAGCAGGGTGGTCATGAATGGATGAAGGGTCCATTTTGCCGTGTATATCTTTCTTGGTTTTATCCTGCTTCTATTGTTTCTCCATTTCAATTGTATGATCACGATTTACAGTTTTCTATGTTTCTTTGATATTTGATTGTCCATCAAATCAATTTGTCTCGTAATTATTTATCAGTTGTTTTTTCCTTTTGTCTCAACTCTCTATAGGTGACATCACTCAATCTTGAAATTGTTAGAGCACTTGCAAGTGGTATGCTTTCTATATCCATAAATTGCTTTGACTTCTTCAACTTTCCATTATGATTGCCATAAAAGCGTTTAGCATGTGCATACTTGACTAATTGACAAGTTATGCAATGCAGCTACAGTATCTTTCATTTACTTAATATAATATTGGTCTACAAAAGCGCAACAGCTAATCGCTTGCTTGATACCAAGTGTTAGGTTGGCCAAGAAGTGAAACAAGCTAAGATAATAAGCTTTTTTTGGCACTTATTAGCTTACCTTAACTTAGCCTGCTTTATTTCATAACAGAGCTGGGAATACTGTGGTGAATAGATTAACCTTTTCTTTTTTGTAAATGGTTAGGAATGTTTTATAACCAATGGGTCAAAAACCCCTTCATTTAGTCATATGGGGTTATGGATTGTTGTCTTATGAGGTTGCAGGTTGTCAAATTCACCCACACATTTTGTGACTGATTGGACTTCTGATTATGGTTTTGTAGAAGGTATTCCATCTGTTGGGATGTCTCCATTTGCCTGTGGATGGTCAACTGCTGGAAGAAATGTTAGTAGTTATCTAAGAACTTGTTATGTATTTAGGTTGTGAACATCAATTGTATGTGCTCTTTGATTTCTTCATACTAGCCTTGTCATCTGTGATGTGTATTCTCAAAAGAAGATCTTACAGTATTCGTAGTATTTTCTCAATGCCAGAAGGCTGACCTGAATTTTGGCACTTATTGTTGCAGTTTACAGATGCAAATATTTCCCAGGTGGCAAACGCTATTGATTCCGGTTTAATCCCTGTAGGTTATAATATGCATCACTTGAACATTCCCTGTACTACTTTCTACTTTCTTTTTTAGTGGAACACTTGAAGTTGTTAACGGGCATCAACTTTTCCAGGTTTTACATGGTGATGTAGTGCTTGATAACTCACAGGTACATGTCTTGGACTATCCAATTTGGGGAAGTACTATATAGACTTATGGACCATGGAAAAACATAGTCCACTGGATCATCATCATTCATTGTGATTGCGGGCAATGATGGAGAGTTGGATCCTCCATTGTGGTCAAATCACATTCTAGTGGGTTGCTAACCATCCTTGAATGTTCATAGTTTTGATGATCAGGTTTTGACTCACTGGACTATGGGTTTTCCATAGGCCATTCGTTTATTTTATATCTTCCCATCCAAATTTATACTGTTTGTTTTAATTGTGCAGAAGGAAATGCCTCAAGAATATTATCATAGAGAAGCTATTTAGAACATTAAAATCTTGAAAAGATGAGTACAAAGAAAAAATTCATTATTACTGACTGATAAGAATCCGTTTTTATGGTAGTATGGCTTATTTGTGCAGGGATGCACCATTCTAAGTGGAGATGTCATCATTCGCTATCTTGCACAACAATTAAGACCTCACTATGTTGTGTTTCTTGTATCCAAAGTTATGTATCAGCTCATTGGCATTTTTGTTGATTGGATGATAGTTGATAGTTTTCGACTAATATGCTTCATATCCCATTTGATCTTCCATTTTGTCAGTTGGATATTATTTAGAAGCAGTGATTTAAAACTACCCAAGCGATTCCTGAGGGTGACCCCCAAAGATGGGGCGAGTCTCCCAAGCCTAGGATCCCTGTTGCTATTTCCCCAGAAAATTCGCCAATTCGAACCTCAAACTCAGCCAGTTTCCTGACTGTCTCAGGTTCGGGATTCTAGCGAGTCTGAGCCTGTGTCCGCATTTTCAAGCAGTGGTTAGGACTCATGTATGAGCCTCTGTTTTTCTATAATCTGAATAAGACAGATGTTCTTGGAGTTTATGACCGCCCTCCATCAGATCCTAATGCTATACTTTTAAGAGAGATAGGTGAGCAATTCCTTGTCGTGATTGATGATACATAATTTTTCTATAAAATTTATTAAGCTTCTATTTTCTATTCTAAAGTATCACTTGGATTTGTCATATGATTTTTGAATGTTCCAATAAGAACCATAGCTTATGATGTGAATATATTTAAGCTTAAATTTCATTAGCATAATCGCTCTGCTGAACTGAATCTTGGGTTGGCAGCTGTTGATGAAGATGGTAGTTGGTCAATTGTCAAACCTATGCTACCACACATGAACAAACAAGGTAAGTTTGAGATGCCCTCTTCTTTACACTTTTGAGTAATTATTAAACTTGCTAAAATTGCTAGGATCATTTGTCATGTTTTGCAACTATCTTTTTCTCTTTTTCCTTTATTTGTTTGTTACTCAGCCCTGGTTGAGAATATTTGCTGATGAGTGTTGCAAACATGGTCTATTGATATGTTGAATGTCTTGTAGAAATGATAAAATAGAGCCGAAGGGGCTCGGTCGCTCGGGTAACGAATTGGTGAATATGACTCAGCCCTATTAGAGATTCTCAACATTTGTGAATATGAATTTAAAAGAAAAAGAAATTTAAAAGATAAATAATAAATTTTGTGATGTTTTATAAACACCGTTCATTTTGAGTTTAGGTGGGGCCACCATATCTCCACATCCATATTAAGTGGAAGCACATGTAGAAGATGGATGTGGGATGCATGAGGGGATGCACATGTAGAAGTGCATCCCCTTCCCTTACTCGTGAAACAATTTGCCTTTAAATAATTGATTTTAAATAATTAAAGGATGCAGTATCTATAAGGCTGCAACCTACTTATTGAAGCAGGGCTGCACCATCTGCACCATCCATTTATTTGGACGGTGCAGGTATTGAACACTGCATGATGAGAGAAATCGGGGCTTCCGGTACCCGGTTTCCTCTTTGTTCGCATCCCTTCGAGACCTCTCAAACCACAGTGCTATTATTTTTCTTTCCTCTCTTCGCATCCTCTCTCCTTCCAATAGCCCCCTTGTCCCCTCCAATCCCACTTTCTATCTATTCCCTGATAGATACCTAATATGCTCTCTTTTTCCTTCCTCTCCATGTCCATGTTCACTCTCTCTGTCACTCAATTTCTCATTTCTCTCTCTGCCAAGTCTCAATACCTCATTTTTCTCTCTCTTGCTATGAACCTCTCCATCTATATCTTGCTCAAATCTATGAAAGGCTTTTGTTAAGATGGAAACTCATAATTCTTTTGCTCTCACGGCCTTGCTCTGAGCAAGGTTCTTTAAGTCAGCCTCTAGCTAAATCTGGAGCTGAATTTGATGGTAATTTTAGTGCAAATTTTAGTCCAAGGTTGTGAGAGCTAATCTTTCAAGAATAGGGATCTCAAGGACCTGGTTTTTGGCTGATTTGGTGCTAATTCTACGCTCATTGTAGAGATAAAGAGGGAAAGCATGTTTGTTGTAGAGATAGAGAGAGGGAAAGCAAGAAAATGGCTGCTAAGGATGGGTACACTGAACCAGGCAGAGAGTTGCTGTATAAATGAGGTCAATTTTGGAGGAAGGTCACCAAATTTGGGAATGAGTTTAATGAACCAGGTGGGGTTGGGGGTGGGGGTAGAGTTAAAGATGTGTGCGCATGTTACGCTAACCTAAGCTATGTTGACTGGGTAGATTTTTAAGGATAGAAGTGCGGCAGTGGGAGAAAGAGGGGTTGGAGCACTCTAGAGCTTGAGCTCCTCTCTTCAAGGTCATGGAGTACCCTCAAATATGCATATTTCATTACCATTCGGAACAAACCATCGCTCCATCTCACTCTTTAATATCTTGCTCTCTCACCCACCTTAAGCACCTGTCACATCCTCTTTCTCTCTGTAAGATGCCAAAATGCTGTATTCTCTCGGAATTGAACTTCAGATGCAGGATTGCTAATATCAACTGCTAACTACCCAAGCCCAAGCCTGATTCCTAAAATGGGTTTTGGTGGTGGTGGTGCACTTTCTTAGGAGGCCAGAGAGAGAGTGGGTTTAGAGAACATGGGTTCCAGGTATTTCATCAGGGTAAGAGAGAGCAATGCGTATTTGATAACCACCTTCTAAATGGGGGTCAGGGCTTGTAAGCAGATCTTTCCTTGCGGTGGGGGGGGGGGGAGGGAGAGAAGAGAGAGACGGGCCATCAAGAACACTTAGAAGAAGAGAGAGAAGAGACAGGCCATCAAGAAAACTTGAAGAGAATGAGGGAAGAATACATATTAATGGGCAACTGGGGCTTCCCTTGACCCGGTGTTCCTTATTAAACCATGCCAAAATATTTACACCATCCAAAATAAACGGACAATGTAGGAGGGTGCAGCCCTAGTTATTGCGAAGGGGTTCAGCTCTATATAAACGTTTTTCCATAATTCAATGGCTTGTTCAGTGTCCTAGTTTTCTCTTCTAATCTCAGTTTTCTTGCATGTATAATTGAATTCATTATTTTCTGATTATTGACTTCTCTTCCGCAACAGTTAAAATCACGGTGGGAGCCCATGACACAACTGGTGGAATGATGACCAAGATAACGGAGGCCGCAACGATTGCAAAACTTGGAATTGATGTCTATATTGTGAAGGTAAAGTAACTATCACTTTTCTTTTTTCCTTCTAATTTAAGGGGGTAAGATGGCAAATTCTCCTCAGAACAACAAACCTGTTGCTTTGCCCACCTAAGACTCACTTTTAAGGTGTGGGATTGACTTGAAAATGTTCAAATCATGCTCTCACATTGTAAAAAATGGGTCATGGGGATTTGAAGGTTTTCTTTTAGCCTCGATCAACTATATCTTGGAGGAGATTCATTTTGAGAGGGTTTGGAATTTTTTTAGGTACCCCACAACACCTTAAAAAATGATTCTAAAGTGGGTGGGAGCACCAAGGTTCCTTTTAGTCAAATTCAAGAGGAATTATAAATCTTTATTATTTGTTATTTCTTTCCAAGTTTCATCACTAAATAAGATCTTAAAAGCAGGCTGGCACAGATCACTCGTTGAAAGCTCTAAAGGGTGAAGTGAGCAACATCTCTAATGAGTGGTTGGGAACAATGGTCAGATCCTCCTCAAAATGCATACATTCAGATGTTTAAGCCTTGGCTCATTGGTGATGGAATTAGGTATTCATTTATGAAATGATGGAACTAGTTATTCCTATATGAAATGTGTCCCATATGCAAGAAACCACTTAAAAGGTGGTGCAATGGGGGACATTCTCTCTCTCTCTGTCCATCTACATCTTGACTTGCTAGTATCAGGTCACATCACGCCTTATTATACTGAAAAAATGATAATTAGATGGAAGTATTGATTAGATCAAAGTATGTATCACACTCTACATCTCATCAATTAGGGGCTGTAAGATTAAAAATATATGCATAAGCAATTAAGGCGATTTTTCTACTTGGATTGAGAAGTTCAGGGGAAGCGAAGAGGTCTCTACATGGTTTTTATTAATTTAGATAAAGCATACAATAGGGTATCTAGAGAATTAATTTGGTGGGCCTTAGAAAAGAAGGTTTCTCTAGAGGATATATTTTGACATGGTGATAGATATGTACATGGGAACACTAGCTAGAGTCAGGGCAACTAGTAGAGAGGCAAGTGAGTTTTTAGTGAAAGTAGACCTACATCAAGGCTCATTGTTGAGTCCATATTTCTTTGTTTTGGTTGTGGACAAGTTAACTAGGCATCTACAGGATAAGGTATTGTAGTGTATGTTGCTCACAAATGATATTGTTTTAATTGATGAGAATAGAGGTAATGTCAACTCAAAGTTAGAACTTTGGAGGGATGTTCTAGAAACTAAAGGTTTTAAAAGTAGCCGGATTAAGATAGAATATAGGAAATGCAAATTTAGTAATAATAGAAGAAGAAATGAGGATTTAGTTAAGATTGATGACCAAGAAGTATTAAAAGGGATTATTTTTTGGTGGTTTGGCCTTGTGGATTTTTTTTGTGTCAACCTAGAATAAAACCATTAGGAAGAGTGATTTGGTTCGGTTCTAAAAGGGCAAGGGGAAGGGAGATAAGGATATCAAAAGAAGTAGTGAGAAGAGATATGGTCAACTATGGTCTGATTAAGGGTATAGCTCTTGGTAGAGGTGGAATAAGATTTGTGTAGCGAGACCTGAAAAGTTGGAATAAAGCTATGATGATGATGAAGATGATGAGAATATGCATTGGCCTTGAGTCTCATACGCCAAAGTTTACTCAATAGACATTTCGCAAAAGGAAGTGTCACTAACCCTGTTTAGCCAAAGAAGAATTGAAGTTTTGGAAGAAACCATTATATGTTTTCAAGGCATATGTTTCTCAAGCATTAGTGCAAATCACTTATATGACATGCCCAAGCTAATGGAATGTTACGGCCCACGGATGTTTATGTGTTTGGTGTAGCCCAGCGTGCATGCAATGCAATTATTACAATATATACAATGAGACTATTTATTTTTTTATATAAGGTGGTCACAATCATCATTGACCATTAGATTTGACATTAGGTAGTTGAGGATGTGTCATTGTTTGGATACAAAGTCCAATATAATTTTTTTTGAATTTTGTAACAAACTTTCATTATGAATTTCACATTCTATGGCTAAAGTGACTAGGCCTTATTCCAAAAATAAATGGTCTCCAAGTATACAATCCCTTATAATAATTGAAAATATTTATGTAAGGTGTCAACCTTATATTATAAAAGTAAGGTGGCCATCAGAAATCCACTTGGAGAATTTATTTCAATGTCAAAAAACATTAGAATTGATCATCTTGACTTATAGATATATGGATGTAAATAGATATGTAGATGTAAAAAGAAAAAAAAAAGATTTTTAGTTCTAAAAATAGTTCATCTTGTAACCTTTTATGTAGATTATCTAATTTCAAAAAAAAGTAGATGATCTTGCTTTGTACTGGTTTAATTAAGAGGTAAAAATGCAATTTGAGACCATCGTAAAGGTTTTGGGCAGTGTGTACTTTAGATTGTTTAAGGTTGACGCCTTATATAAACCACTCCCTATTATAATTTAACAGACTATTTATGATATGTGCATAGTAAGGATTTAACTACAAGCATTATTTCAAGTACAACACTCTCGACTGTTCGATCTTTGATAAGGTGGTTGAGATTGCATACATTGTTTGAATTTTGATATTTGTTACATGTTTATATCGATGCTACTAAGGTGCACTTGATAAAAATACCAAAGAATATTTCCAATCATTTAAAATGACCAATAAAAGGGTGCATTTTAAACTTTTTAGGGGTATGTTGGTCATTTAGGATGCACCTTACTTTGAGGTGTGGATGACCAAACTTTTAGTTTAATCCAACTTACATAAAGAAATAAAAATAAAAATAAAATATTGAAATGCACCAAACCATCTAATCAGGATGGGATAATTTTGGAGAAATTATAATTGGACAATGTTAGAATGTAATGTAGAAAAAGTGTTGCAGTGTTTTTGAGTTCTTTACATGTGTTGAATGGTCCATATTTGACTTAGATGCACTTGGTGTGAACCCACCACTTTATTCTTTTTTTAATAGTAATTGTCTACTTGTTTAAACAAGATCAATAACAAATGCCAATCTCTCAAATGTCTCTCAGTTGACCATTGATTAACTATGTCACTCCTAAATTGATGCTACGCTCTTATAAACAGCAAACCCTTAAATGTTTGCTTAACAAGTACATTAAAAAGTGAGGAAAGGCCTACATTTAGAACAATGTTTTAAAATTTCAAATCGGATTTGGAAGCCTAACTTACTGTAATGATCCAGATCTATAATTCAAGGTATGGCTGAATCGTCAAAATTCGTAATAAAAATTGTTAAAGTAATAGTATTGAGTGATTTCGAGGGAGATGGATGGGCGATCAAAACGGTGATTACCAATTTGGATCACCAGGTTTTAAAAACGGAATTTATAAAGATCTGATGACAAGTGCTATTGGCACATGTGAATGATATAATCATTCAAATCTGAACTTGTCTTTTTCAAACATGACACATCTATAAATTATTTAAACTTGTTTTTTCAAACATGACATATCAATGTATTATTTAAGAAAAAATGATTTGACAAGTGCCATATAAGCTATGTTATTAAGATGCAGAAATCCCGGACACAACGAAAGTGTCAAGAACTCCAAAATTAGCACATGGAAAAAAAAAATAGAACACCAATGCAACAGTTGTATTAGTATAATACAACGACACTTTTAGAAAACCATGTTTGTGGTATTTGTATGTTCCCAATTTGACACTTTTTTCATCTCAATAATCAATCAAAAAAAAAAAAAGTTCAATTTGAACACTAGATATGGTCAAAATGAGTCCTATCCAAAAACGAATTTAGACCATTTATTTTGTGAATTTCAAGATCTTAGCTTTTATAAACTTAAAATCATTTTTTTCTTTTTTAACATTGTTCATCTAATGATAATAAAACCATACCAAAAAATTGGAAAATGAAAAAATCCTTTTAAAGCTTAGATCTAAGCATCTCGTCAAAATGAACAGTCTATGTTAATTGGATTGAAAAAATATTTTTTAAGTTGTGTTTTTGATTTTTTATTTTAAATTTTTTATTTTTTATTCATTAAAATGAAAAGAGTGTATATTTCAAAATTTAAATCAAACAAATGGCCATGAGACGATTTTTTAAGATTATTGCATCAGTTGTATGAAATCATTGGCCCCTTTTAAACTCATTAAAGTGTGACACGAAAGTGACATTGCGGCATCTTTAGAAGGTAGGCACATGAAAAAAACACATTTGACACATGTAAAACAAGTTTTGCTCACGAGCTTGTGTTCACTGTAGAACACATTTTTCAAAGGGCAAGCCCGCATATGTAAAAATGCGGGCCTCTTGATAAATCTATTTTTGAGATGGATTTTAAGACTTAATTTATAAAGACAGCCTTTTAATAAATCTATTTTTTGGATGGATTTTAAGACTTAATTTTTAAAGACATGTAATATCAAACATGGAAAAGATATAGACTTTGCATTTGGCTCGGTATTGTGTGTTATCACTTATTGATACTAAAACACATGTCAACATGCATTACCGATTGACCGTACATATATGAAGGGCCATCAATGTTTTAGTACGTGCGGATGCATTAACTGTATAATAAGCCTTAAGGTCCATTAGAGTTGAGTATCTAAGGATGGGAGACCTTGATTCCTATCATGCATCTACCGATGGGATAGCTTGATTCCTACCCATGCACATTTTTATTTTCATTTATTTTGCTTGACTTTTTTTTTTTTTTAACCATTAATAGCTCAGCTGAAATTGAACTTTGATGGAACTGTTCGATCAAATGATGGTGAGGCTAGCTTTGGGGGTATTTTGACAATCTACAGTAGAGAGACCATTTTTTACTTACAATGGTAGTCTGTTATTCCGTGACATCAATGAAGTTGAGCTTCAGCCAGTGAAAGAAAAGAGTCTTTAGGCTCGTTTGCAACCAATCCAATATTATTGTGGAGGATGATTATGCTAATGTGATTAACTGGTGTAACCATCCTCGCAAGACCACATGGTAATGGACTTCGATCATAGACAAAATTCAGTTAGCCATCTTTAGCAAAGAGGTCATCTTTAGCAAAGAGGTCATCTTTTGCCATGTCAATTGAGAGAAAAGAAGGACGCAAATGTCTTGTCTCTTAACCTCCCCCCTCCCTGTCCTCTATTCTTCTCCCTCCTCTCTTTCTTCTATTTTCTTTTGTTAACACTATGTAACTCTAAACTTTTGCTCTTTTTAAATAAAATATCTAGTTAACAAAAAAAAAAAAAAGAGGACAAAAAAAAAAAAAAAAAAACTACAAAACTCACCCTAAATCCTAAAGCGCTTCGGGGACAAATAAGGCACATTTAACATTGATGCACCAACGTCCCCTAGAGCGCTTGGGCAAAAAAGAACTTACTACCATACCACCCACGCTTAACATTGATGCACAAAATCAATATTATTCTTTGTATATATTATTCTCATAGAACTTTTAACAAGGAAACGCCATGGGATGGATCAAGCAGATACTTGAAACAAGTTCGCTAACTCTGTCACCATGATGCTTTGGCTAAGTTTAACGATTTTAGAAAAAATTATAAATATCATCAAAATGAACTTTATGGACATCTTACCCGCAATATTTTTTGTATGACACCCTATATCTCATTATTATTTTTTCTTGGATTTAGCCTTCAATCAAATAAAAAGGTCAACAATATTAAGATTAAAATACCCTTACTCTCTCTGTCTACTCCCTTTATCTCTTTCTCCCAATCTCTACATGGCTGAAAATCAACGTTTTCTCTTTCTTACTCTCTCTACTCGTCATCACTCTCTTTCCTTCTCTACCAGCCCTTTCTTTCTCCTCGCGC